GATCGATTGATTTCCCGTCTTCTTCCGGTGTACCGACGACAAGTGCAGGTGCCCTGCGCAGTATTCGAGATCGTCCTCGCCGGCCTGGCCGCCTTTATGGGATCACGGGGGGCGAACACGGCGCACCCGCGCACGGCGTTGGAGGACTTCACCGTTGCGCCCGCGTGGTATCCCTTCCCTTCCACCGTGGCATACCGTCGGCACGAGGCCGGGTGGCTCGCCGGCACTTTCCGGCCCAACGCGTCCGGCGTTCCCGACATACATCGCATGTGGCAGATCAACGAGCGTTGTCGCCTCGCCATCTACCGCAGCTGCGACGAGGTCGAGCCCGGGATGCTCGCCCTCCTCACCGACCTCTTCCAGAAGCCTTCCATCCCCGCGGGGGTCCTGCTGCCTTCTCCCGACCTCGGCGGCGACGACGGCGGTGTCCGCCCGGATGTGCTGCGCTGGCTCGACGACCAGCCCCCAAAGTCTGTCATCTACGTAGCGCTCGGGAGTGAGGCGCCAGTGACGCTAAAGAACCTGCACGAGCTCGCGCTCGGGCTTGAGCTCGCCGGCGTGCGCTTCCTGTGGGCTCTCCGGTCGCCCGGCGGCACATCCGACTCCCGCACCGGTGCGGACGACCGCGGAGTGCTGCCGGACGGGTTCGAGGAAAGGACGCGTGGCCGCGGCATGGTCGAGACTGGGTGGGTGCCGCAGGTGAAGGCGCTCGCGCATGGCGCGGTGGCCGCTTTCCTGACGCACTGCGGTTGGGGCTCCACCGTGGAGAGCTTCGCGTTTGGGCACCCGCTGGTGATGCTCCCGTTCGTCGTCGACCAGCCGCTCGTCGCGCGGACCATGGCGGAGAAGGGCGTCGGCGTGGAGGTGGCGAGGGACGAGACCGACGGCTCGTTCGACAGGGACGGCGTCGCCGCGGCGGTGCGGCGCGTCATGGTGGACGACGAGGGGAAGGTGCTCGCGAGCAACGCCAAGAAGCTGCAGGAGGTTCTCGCCGATCAGGAGCGGCAGGAACGGTACATCGACGACGTTGTCGAGCACCTGATACGTTACAAAGATGAATAATTTAGGAGTAAATAGCATAAAACTATCACTTTTCGCGTTATGGTTCCAAAAAACTACCGAAAATTTATTTGTGACTGATGCCTACAACTTTTGGCCTCGGCTGTCTCAAAAAACCCAAATCGCCGTGTGCTTTGCAATTGATCGCGGTTATGACAGTTGGGGCCCACTCCTAAACAAACCATTTGTTTGACCGTTTAGTTTGACCATTAACTGACATGTGGGACCCACATGACAGTATCTGTAAATATTTTTTAAATGCAATTTGGTCCCTGCAAATATTTCAAAAAAGCAATCAGGCCCCTGCCATGGCCGTCTTCTAGATCGGGCTCCTCCTGCCGTGCTCGTCGCTGTTGCAGCCGCGGCTGTGGGCAGCCACGGCGGGAGCATCTCGTCGGCCAGCTCCTGTCCGTGATGCAGGCGGCCGCGGCAGGAGCATCTGGACGGCCAACTCTTGTTTGTGCTGCGGGTGGCCGCATCCAGCAGCCCCCACCCCGCCGGTGAACCCCTTCTGCTCCGGCGTCGCGTCCATGGTCGTCATCGGGGGCAACTGCGTTGGAGAAAGCAGGGTGAGGGAGGAGCTCGGAGGAGCCGCACATGCGGCCGAGGTCACCGGCTCTCCATCCACAGGCCACGCGCAGGGGTCCGGCGATGTGGATGGCGGCGGAGGTGGCTGCCGCTGCCAGGGCTCCTTGGGTGGCTGTCTGGACCGCCGTGTCCAGGAGCTCGCGGCCTCAGGGACTCCATGGACGCCGGCGAGGTGGGCATGCGAGGGG